TCGAAGGCGCCATTTTCAATTCGGACCTCATACACGTAAGTCAACGGTGAATGTTTATTTCATTGTAGTTACATACATCTGGATATTGATACCATCGCGTAGTATATTGTTGTTTATTAAACGAGTGTAATTTGATTTTCATCCTGTCATGATTTAGCGAAGAAGGTTGATTTAATCTATTTGTTCATTTAGCAGGGATCTCTATCAGTCTTTGCTGTGTGTAAGAGTTATCAGATATTTCGTAATCATGCACGGTAATGCATTCAAATAGAATTTACAATTTTTTTGTCAGGTGCATTGCGACATTCCAGCAAAGCATAGAGAGTCAATGCTAATGCGTATTGACCTTTAGCACTGCATACTTGCTGTGAGGCAGGTATTATTAGACCTATACATAAATATACACACCACACAATATTGCATAGACTGCATACATTAGGACCGATTGGGCCAATCGGCAAATTTGACACTAGACTTACAATTTGAATTTTTTAATTATTCCTTTTAACATTAGTTAGTTGAAAAAAATATATTTACTGCTATTTAGGTGTCATCCATTGTCACTAAAGTACCGATTTTTAGTGAAATCAGTTGAGTTTTGTACAGTGGTGTTTGAAATGTTGAATCAAAAGCACGTAGCTTTTACTACACAGCCAGGATAGTGATGCTCCTATGTGTGCAGTACGACGTTGTTACTAATTCATCTCTAATGAATTTGTATCTCAATCTATCAGTCATAATGCTGTTCACATGGATCATGTTGTTAGGTCGGGCAAGGTACAACTTGTAGGGGCCTGAAATAGCTTCAACTAATGCGTGCAATCTACTTTCTGACACTTGAAGAACTCCTGTCATGAAAAGGTCGTTACCAGGCGAAAGATGTTTTAAGAAAGCAGCCTATAGATTTCGATATATGAATAATGGCCAGTCATGAAAAAATAGGATTGATTTTCTGCCATTATCTAAATTGTATTCCTGAAAATAAATGCAGCCATTATTCTCTCATGCTCATGTTTTACTAAGAAAAAAAAGATGTGATGACATTCCGGATTCCATGCGACTTATGTAGATATCTCGAGCCTTTGGAGACGCCCAGGAAACTTTAAGGCAAGTAACAGTAAATGTAAGTTGCCCCCATCTTCTTTATAATCATAACATTTACATTATTAGATTAAGGTATCCGAAATTAATTAATTAAATATAAAATGTTTCCTATCAGCATGCCCTCATGCAGCGAGTTGACATTCCCTGCTCTCATTCGGTACATGTGCTTTCTATTTTTGGCTTGCATATTATCATTTTCTTGTCAATGTTTCCATTAAAGGTATAGACCAGTTTTGGAAACGCCCCCCTCTCAAAAAATGAAATAGAAGCTCTTATTACCAATCATGTGAAAGAATATGTTTTGACTAATACGTGGTCGTACAAATTTTGCCGGTAATTAACCGCCTACAAATTGATATATTTGGTAAATTATCATATCGATCCGGCCTGGATAGATATCGCGTTGTCCCATATACATCTTTCTGTTTGTGCTTGTAACTTTACCAAGGCTGGGCCAATTTCTTATCATTTTGATGATTCCAGAACCTTGCAGAACACACCAATACTTGTATGCTAGATTCTTTTAGAGTAACATTGGTTTGGTTTTATATTACGTATACAAATTCAAATATATACACGACTCTCTCTCTCTCGCTATATGTATATATATATAAAGTGCCATATCGATTAACTTTGGCGATCATGCTGTCCAAAACCCTCGGCTCCTAGCCTTCTCTATTTAATAGCACAACTCCCTGTCAAAGCAAGATTCTCTAGGCCTTCTTTACGTGTAATGCGACCCATGAACTTCAACTGCCAATCAACATCTCACGTTTCATTTTCTTTTGCACTCCAGCTCTTCTCAGAACTTTCTCATTGTCCAAGGGATTTTCATGTTTTTTTCTTAAAAACACATTTCGCAACTTTCCAAACGCGTTTTAGTATCAGAGGCGAAAGTCCACGTTTCACTACCATAGCATAAGTACTGGAAAGATGTAACAATTCAGTACTCTTATTCTGGTCCTAATACTCAATTGTGCGATTTGTCATAATTTTGCCTAATTTAGCGAGAGCTATCCTCCTCTAGATCTCTGTCTAACATCTGGCATCCTCGGTGATCATGCTACCGAGGTAGTTACAAAAGGAGACTTTTTTAATAACCTGTTTTTTCAGTTTCAAGTTACATAATGTGTTTGAATCCCAGGCGTTCTAGCATAGAGCGTGCATTATTTTGTCTGACTAGAGCGCCTACCGGGCTTATCAAGACACAGTATTTGTCATCTGAATGGCTGACATAATTATAGGGGAACAGCCATAATTATAAAGAGTACATTTCAGAGTACGTATCCCTACTGTCACAACGACATTAAAAAAGGCTCCTAGCCACAATAATTCAGAGTTTAATCAACCATTTATTGGGATATAATATACGCGTACAAGATGCCGGTCGAACTGCGAAGGCCATCCAACATTACAAAAATCAGTAATTACATAGCGTTGCCCGCAAGAGGGCAGCATATCAAACAAACAAGTGTCAGGTATTAATTTTCAATTCCATTAAAAATGTATTTATTTCAATGAAAGACCGATCATACGTCGCAATATAAATTCGAATTGTACATTATTTACTATCAAAATGATAATAAAAAAAAATTAAAAAAAATTCTTCAATGAAAGACCGATTATAAGTCGTAATATAAACTCGAATTGTACATTATTTACTATCAAAATGATAATACACAACGAGAAACATACTTTTAAATGTATACGTTCAAAAGAATAATTTACATACATGATGGTTGAAAAAATATAAAGTATACCACATGTACAAACGAAATATTTAACGAAACATTACGAAGGCAATATGTAGTAATTATAACATAAATAACATAATAACGTAATTTTTATATAAATATAATACACAAGTTACAGCCAGCGTGCTAATATTGTGATATGGATAATTACGAGGAAAGAAAGGTTTAATACTCTGCTGTATAACTAATAGATGTATTTGTTTCTTTCTTATGCAAATTTGAATGTTTCCATTATTTTGATGATCTTTGGTAAAATGCAGCAGATCGGTGGAAAAATCACTCGAGGGTGTTTTTATATAAATATCATCGGCCTTTCAAGACATTTCATTGAGCAAATATTCTGTTGTACAAAGAAATAATGACGGAAAATACACTAACGCATTACACATTATACATGTATTCAATTATGATCGAAACTGATTTTCGGTTTATTTCAGGAAGACGTATGAGAACGTACGCGGCAGGCTTTCTTTAATCTTGTTTTTCTTTTCTTTTATCAGGTTTTTAGCATATCATTTTTCCAAACTCGAACCCAGCTATGGTTCGGGGGAAAATACAGAACGTTAGTAAACACAATCGAAGCTGAATGTGATGGTTGTATGGCGGGTCAGGACTACTAAGTATTTTTTTACTTATTTACCTACTGCCCCAGCCCACATATGAAGCTCCGTTCGTTAACCTCTGGTTATCATTTTTTTTTAAATAATATTTGTACGCACAATATATCAGAGGAATATTGCAATACATTCAAATCTGGTTCAATGATAGATTTGGTTTATTGTCTCATACCCAAACTCTTTCAACTATTTTGTTTATTTATTTATTTTTACATAGTTCATCGCATTGCTTAGTATGATCAAGATAAACATAGCCAAAGAATATTATTAGACCTAAAAACGCAATAACAATCATAATACATTTAATCAAATATTGCATGAAGAAACACACATAAGTGATTCATTAAATATATATAATATACACATGTATAGGCCTAAGATTTGAGACGTTGTCACACGTATTATCATTCTATTTGACATATATTCTTTAAGTAATACAAACCAAACATAATAATACTACTTGCAATATCAAAACTGTCTAAATAATAATGTGTTACGCTCAATAAATATAACACATTTAGCATTTTTTCACGGGAATTACCTCGTGACGTCATCCAGATGCCATTTTATAAAATATGCAGCACTTGTTTCATGTTTGTAATATAAAGTCGTATCCTTATCATATTTGGCATCTTGAAAGTTTATTACATGGTAAGATTTGTCTCCGCAATTGTACATTGTACAATTGAAATTCTGCTTAAACCAAATATAAGAACACGTTAGGGATTCAGAATAGGCCTAATTATTATACGAAACAAAGAACGTAGAAATAAACAGAATAAATACATTTTACAAACATGGTTGCTTTAATACACAACACCTACAAGTTCGCGTTATATTTAGCCTCCATAGTTGTTAGGAAAAAAATTCGTTATATCCTAAGTTATAAGCTGCAAGGAATATTACACAGAATATCATGTATAAAACTAACATACATTCAGCAGAAGATGCAAGCATTTATAAATAATGAACGTATACACATGAAAGAAATTTACATTGCTTTAATAACTTTATCAAACAGCGCGTGAATTAAGGGGGTGGACACTGAACCACACACCAGGAACTCAATAGTAGAGTATGCATCTGCATGTTTAAGTTATTAAGTGTGCGTTGGTCATGGAAATAAAAACATAAATCTCCACAATTTATAGGCAAAGTAGAATTTACACAAATAATTTAAGATCTGTCATCACATTTGTATCTCAACTGACCATTGGAAATATCTGCAAAACGAGGGATAGTCATATGTCAATGTTTAGTGAACTGTATTCATTGAAATATGTACGTGTATATGGAACAGTCACCCTGAAGTGGCAATTACGCACCTGCTTTCTACAACAAACATCCGCCTCTAAAAAGCAAACAAACAAACAACCCCCAAATAAGGAAACGAAAAAGAAGCCAAACTTGCATAACTATCAAGCGTTAACAACATTGTGACGAACGATTATGTTTCTGCTGAAAACTATCCATTTATTCTATATCATATTTGTTTTCACATTGCCTCGACCCCCCCCCCCTCCGTTCTCTCTCTCTCTTTCCCTCTCTCTCTTACTCTATCTTAATCTCTCTTTCTGGTTTTACACCGAATCCAAATACTTGTTTACAAATCCTCCTGCTTCTGCCTTGATGAGGATCGCATTTAAATCCTTTCTAGTCCGAGTTGATGCAGATTTCCATATTTGAAGGAGGTCTATGTACTGCTCATTTATCTCTCTAGAATTCTCTCTGATACCTTTAGCGATGCTGTAATCGATGCGAAGAGCAACGTAAAGAGGGCTCCACAGATTAGGTGGTAAAAGCCTTGCTAGTTTCAGGATATTAGCATCTGTCACTTTCTGTTCATCCGATGGACTGAAATTTAAAAATTAAAATTGTAGTATTTATGCTTAGGCAAAAATTCACTGATTCTTTTTAATTCGCTCCGCCAGAGAAGAAATAAATTTTAACTCTTCGAAATTGTACTGTACAAATCATTTCATATACAAATATTTTATAAAATGGACTTGCAAGAGAACGAGCAATGAATTCGACCTGGACAAGCGGGGTTTTAATAAACAGTCAAGTCGCGACACATGCCCAAATTAGTGACAAATTGTTTGTCTAGGAATGATTTTGTAGATTTCAGGCTTTCGGATACTAAAAAAAAAATTGATGACAATACCACTACTGGTACTACCTGTAATACAACTTCTGCTACTACCAATACTTATATCAATACTACCACTCGATCCTCACTTCTACCATGGTATTCTTCCGAATCGACATGCAAAGATTTAGAACGCTCACAAAGCACTTTCTATTTTTACCAGAACTCAGCCTGCTCTTTGAAAAAATATTGGCTACATACCCTGATAGCGTCGACACCCCTGCTGATTGTGATCCTGCATCCATGGTACAGGATGCTGCTCCTGCTGCTGTTGTCATGTCCACGTTTGTTGTTGCTGGTGTTTTCATAACAATATTTAAAAAAAAAATGAGAAGTGAGTTTGTGAATTAATAAAAAGCCAGGTCAATTCCGGTCAATGTCATGAAAACAGAGTGTACCCAGATTGAAGATACTATGTCCCTTTTGCGGCCAACATCAAATTCTGTAGAACTTTGCAGGAACTATGAATATGTCATGTATATCCTATCTGTGAAATTTAAACACTAGCAGTGTCCTAATATTCAAATTATGCAAGGAAACCTGTTTACTTGCTAGACTTCACTGTCAGACACTATTGAGTGACTTACTGCCTTTTTTCATCTTTGGTAATAACATACATAAAATGAGCTGTAAAGGGTACGTGACTCTATAGCTCCTAAGTCGATTCAACAACTAATAGTCATTATTTTCCCACTTAAAGACATATTCAACCCCCCCCCCTTTTTTTTTTAGGGAAGTTCTAAATTAGTATTGTCTTTCAAATGCCGTTGGAATTTAACCTTTTCATTTGTTTGGCCTGCAAATGGGACATAGTACCTTTAAGACTGGTCTTAGAGCATTTATATCATAAAAATTAAACAACTAATATATATAATGGCTACTATTTAAGAGATGCTATGGGGGAGGGGGCTGGGGTTGCTTCTATAATTTGAGGTACTGCGCTCTTCCGAATGCCTGATCTACTGTAAAAACAGTGGCGGATCCAGGGGGCCGCCCCCCCCCCATTGAGAAAAAAAATCATGTAAAAACACGTGATTCTTACCTTTTTGGGGGTTGCCCCCCCCCCCTTGCGCTCAGGGGGGGGGGTTGCACGTATTTAAATTTCCGAGGACCAAACAAAAAAAAATGTGCTCACTACCCTCCCCCCCCCCCTAAACCCCAAAGAGCAAAAATTTGAAGAAAACAAATTAGGCCCCCTCCCCTAAGAAATCCTTGATCCGCACCTGTGTAGAAGTATGTGAATAACTATATCCTGTATAAACTCGCACTACGGTACTCCTTTAAAGAAAAACACATGTTAAGATTACTTCTATGCTTGTATAATGATATCAAATAGGAGAGTACTAACTGAGTAGAAGTAGAAATGTGTCACATGACACATCTATCTTGAGCTTTAAATACATCAATCATTTTATGATTATGTTTGAAATACCCTGTACCTCATTGAAATTTACTTTTCCATGCCTTATTTATCATATTCGGTATTCATTCATTTATCACGGGCTTTCCGCGAAGATTAATGCGGAATTTTTCTCGTTATATGCTTATAAAGATTATTTATGCTAAACAAAAATGTTGGTAAATATTATGTTTTGGTTGTCATAATTTTGATTTTTTTTTTGGGGTATTGTTCTTGCTTTTTTTTCTTCATTATATGACACACACCAAAAAGTATGATTTATACATATCTATTATTCCTATATAGGACCCCATTGAAATGAGCTAATTAACAGCATTAAAAGATTATCCTGTCAAAACATATATTTCCTTTCGTAACCATTTTGATCGTCAGCAGTTTCAAATTGAGGTGAAATTCACATCTAGTAGTTAAGAATTGCATGCATGTTATTACATATGGGTAGCTTATGAACCCTTTAATTTTTTTTTGAAAGATTTAAACAGGGATTGAAAGTTACTTCAAATGGAACACGTACTGTATTGACAATGTTAGTCGTAATTTTTTCTCAGAAGTCAACGAAGTTCCACAAGACATTGTCTTAAAATCAAAAAAATAGAAGACTTTTAGGCTTTCAGATCAAAGTGTGCAGTTTGTGGTCCCTAATTCATCATACATACCATCATATTTCAAGTCGAAACGAATCAGGGTAGGGTAAGAAGAAGACTTTCTTTGATCCAAGGTAAATTCGAGGAACCTTTGGCTTGTCCCCGACTCGAGTGGCTTCACTTCAAAGGAGAATTGTTTACTTTCAAAGAGGTACATATCCCTTTCACCTACTATCTATTTTAAAAGAAGAATGAATTCAAGTATTAAAATTAAAGTTAATTTTCTCATAAAAAAACAACTTAAAAAGCATAACCTGAATTTGAAACATACACCACACACTTTAAATAAAACAAGAATATTATCATGCCAAGGTATAAATAAATTGAAAGGAAAAAAGACGAGAAAGAGATAGAGAGGCGACAATGTGTGTAATTGCGTTCCAATGCATTTTCTTAGTTTTGTGAATTAAAGTAGATAAAGGTAATAAGTAACATACACTTTTATTCGACAAAATTTGAAATCATAGATTAAAAGGTTTCACTAAAAAAAAATCGTTTCAAATGAATGAAAATAGTCGAAAGGGTTAGTATATATTTTAAATAAATTTTACGAGAACGTTTAAAATTATATGTCGATTGAGTTCAGACCTAGCACAACTGTGATTGGACTGTACTTACTCAAAAATGATATCAAAATTCCCTTTTCTGAAACGTTCATATTCATTTAAAAGTCAAACCCATTCCCATCCCCATTTTATTATTATTATTATTATTTTGATGGTAAATTAGAAAGGGTGTGCATAATGTGCATCTGTCTGCGGGTGTGGTTGGCTGCTGTGCGTGTGCATGTATTAACGTGTGTATGTATCTCAGAGGGAGTAGCCCCCTTGACATAATTTTTAAATCTGGCATTGAAATGCCCTACGTTTGGCAACCCAGAATATGTTCTCCAAATTTCAAGGAAAACCAAGATTGGAAAGGGAGCAAAAGAGTTCTATAAAATGACAAAGCCAATACGTGTTATGATTGGACGGAAACCCAGCGGAATTCGTATTGTGACCATTCTTTAAATGCGATTTACCTAAAGTTTTCTGTGTGAACGTATATCGTATTTGGTATCATCGATTTTCTTTTTTCGCCATAACTTTGTGACGACGTCAAGTCAGCTGTCAAGTGTAACGAATACAAATTTTATTGACGTCAGTATAAAGATCGCAATTTTTAAGTAAGTTGATGTTCTTTTTCTCGCAATTTTCTTGTAAAAATTTGGAGGGCAATTTTCGCAAAGTCGGTCAGTGATAGGGTAAACAACATTTTCATTGGCTGGAAAGGGCCTATCTTGAAGTATCTAAATCCAAAAAAAAGGGGTACAGCTTTGGCCAGAAACGATGGAGTTAATGCCACAGAAAGAAAGCTTTGAAACACAGAACATACCTGTTTGTCAATGTTCTCCTTATTTTCCTTTGAGCCATCGAACAACTCGATATTGATGTCACCAGACCTCCATTCTACGAACATTGGCTGGGGCGGATAGAGCTTTCTGTACTCCTTCATTTCTTCGTTTATTTTCTGTTGGAGCAAAACATAATGGATGGTAAAGAAGACAACCCCCCCCCCTCTCAATGTCTTTCTTTGTATTCAATTCAATTCAATTCAAGGTTTATCAAAAAATATCTTCGCAGCCGTAAAAGGCTGAATTGCGATACAGCTCACAGATAAAAACATGCAAAATTACAAAAATATACATATCAAATACAATAAACATAGTTTGACATAAATTAAAAATCAAATATAAAATATATAAACAGAAAACCAAAGAGTTCAAAGGTGAGTTTTAGAAAAATGGGTTGTTTAAATTACATCAGGAGTTTAGCGATTATTTAAATTTTAAAACCATTTCAGACATCTAAAGACAAGATGAGAAATTGCAAAAGATTATATTTCAAATTAAAAACTCAACTTTGGAATGATAAAAGATAAGTTTGTTCATTAGAAGTGAATCATCGATTTACAATATTCACATGGTAATAAGTTAAATGTATTGCACACAGTTTTTAGGAAAGTACAAACAAATAAACAAATTAAACGTTTTAAGGAAAGTAAAATTTAAATAAAGATATATCAAAAAAAATTCTCTTCTTAAAAAAAAAATGGTTACATAACTTAATCAATGCAATTTAAAGCAATTTCCATTAAAAATGTATGTATAAGAGATTACAATTCTGTGTTCAATAGCCGGACTATGTAAGGTATGGCACTTTTTCGGTAACGTTCTGTTCTGTTCTCTATAAATATATATATGTATATATAAAGAAAGAGAGAAATCTTTATATGAATAGCTTTAAATATAGTTATAAACAATTTTTTCTTTTTCTTTTTACAATTTTAGGATATTAATTACACATTAAAGGTACTATAGATGTCCCATTAGCAGGCCCCAAAAATGAAAAGGTTAAATTCCAACGGCATTTAAAAGATAATACTAATTTAGAACTTCCCTAAAAAAAGGGGGGGGGCTTGAAAATGTCTTTAAGTGGGAAAATAACGACTATTAGTTGTCGAATCGACTTAAGAGCTATAGAGCCAGTAAGTAATAGTCTGATTTTCAGACCGTTGTACCGAATGGTCGTACGTTTTATGCTGCACAAAGATTCGATCAGTTTAATTTTGGCCATTACAAGAAGTGGGTTATTGATGTAGACAAATGCTCATATACCCTTTACAGATCATTTTATGTATGTTATTATCAAAGAAGAAAAAGGCCAGTCAGTCACTCAATAGTGTCTGACAATGAAGTCTAGCAAGTAAACGTGTTTCCTTGCATAATTCGAATATTAGGACACTGCTAATGTTTTAAATTTCACAGATATGACATACATGACAACTTCATAATTCCTGCAAAGTTCTACAGAATATGATGTTGGATGTAAAAGGGACATAGTATCTTTAAATTTAAAAAAGGCAAATGTGTCCCTATCCCCCCCCCCCCCCACACACACAGCAACTAATTTGGACGTCATGAATCATAAAATATCCAGAAATGTGTCAACTTTCTTTCCAGAGAACTTTAGGCGGAAATGATAACTTTTTTTATCGTTCTCTAATTAATTTATCTTTTTGCCTGTTTACAAAATTGTGAAGAATATCTGGCATCAAATGCAAAAATCTGGGGACTCTCTTTAATGGCATGTTGTTACATTTTCTACTCACTACCTGGAATATTTGCTCCGACACACCCATCACCCCCCCCCCCCCCATCTTAAATTATTTACAACGTCGTAACACCCTTATCTCTGTCTCACCTTATTAACATCCAAGAGATCGTCATATATGCAAAGTAGCAGTAAGTGCGTCAACCCTTTCGTGACAGGTGGTCGTATATATGGCGTGCACCTGACCCTCTTTCCGATGAAGTACCGAGTGAATACGGCAACAATCCACCAATCACTGAAATGATCTACGTAGAGATCCAAGTCCTTTGATCTGACGTCACAACGTGCCGGACAACCGTCCGTGGATGCGGGAATTCGCACAAAAGTCGTTGAGTCTATATGGAAACGACATTCATAACATAAATATTCTGTCTACTATAAATTTGTACGTCATTTGATTTTTTTGGACAAATGCTATATTATGTGTGAATCTACAGTGTATATACATTATCTATATTTATAATCCAACAAATTATTGAGATACAGCAAATGGATATGTTGGCATCAACTGGTCCATTAATAAGTTATCACTAACTTTACTGAATTAAATAAAAATCAAATAAGAAAGGAAACTGAAAGTGACACATATTTTTTCCTATTTTGAAATGTAACAATAATTTTATTTATATTCTGTGTTATATTTCTATGTCTAAAATGCATTTGAGCCTCTGTAAATTGGATATGAACTTGCTCCTGCGACTATCGCTCCGCTTCAATTTCCTCCAATATACACCAATCCTTAACTTTAACCATAGAATTAACACAATACCTAACCCTATACCATATCCCCAACCCTAGACCTAATCTGGAACTCAATTGCCACCCTAACCAAATGCCTATAACTGTGAAGAAATAAAGCCCGGAAACAATTATTGTTGTCGCAGGAGCTTTTGTCAGGTCCCTTTGGTAATTGCCCCACCTTTGTTGCGGGTGTAGAAGACGATCTCTGCACGTCTTGGATTGGTGAAATGTGCATTATGATCCAATGTGACCTTAAAGGTTTCGCTGAGCTTGGCTCCAGAAGTCGTAAATCTGACGCCGCATGATATTACTACTTCATTATCTTGAAGGGTAAGTTCTTGAGGACTGTCTGTCAAAAGATCCCACTGGATTTTCTTGCCAACTAAAAAACAATGATTGATAGGATATACACTGTTGCTCATAACGGTGGAATATTTTTTTTATCCCAATTTATGGAATTATTTTAAAAATAATTTAAAAATACTAGATCTAGATAATAGTATACAGTCTCAGATTTTATTGAATAATAATTTGCCAATATGTGTTTTGCGTGACTGCTAAAGCATGTATATTATGCTACTATGTTTATCAACTAGGGGACCTATGCCCTTAAGTCATAAAGGACAGTAATGAGGATTAATGCCTCACAAAAGGGCTCTGATATAGCATATCGACACGGTGTTGATCCTGGGGCCTCACAGTTACGAGGCCATTGCTTTGTCACTGAACCATGACTGTACGCAGCGGGGGCTATGGTAGGGGGCAGTTTCCATAAATTAAAAAAAACAACAGAAAATGCAATAAATTTTCAATAATTTATTGCATTCTACCCCGGTCCCCAACATAAAAAAATCCTCTGGACGGCCATGCATTATGGCTCAAGGCATGGGCACACAGAAGATTTTTTATGTTGGGGACCGGGGTAGAATGCAATAAATTATTGAAAAGGATCAACACCGTGTCGATGTGCTATATTAGTGCCCTTTTGTGAGGCATTAATCCTCATTACTGTCATTTATGACTTAAGGGCATAGGTCCCCTAGTTAATAAACATAGTAGCATAATATACATGCTTTAGCAGTCACGCAAAACACATATTGGCAAATTATTATTCAATAAAATCTGAGACTGTATACTATTATCTAGATCTAGTATTTTTAAATTATTTTTAAAATAATTCCATAAATTGGGATAAAACAAAATATTCCACCGTTATGAGCAACAGTGTACAAAGTTTGTTAATTTTCTCAAGTGTAAAATATTATATTATGTACTTCAAACGTATTTCAAACGTTATACGATTATTACCATCATTCAATGATTCAATTCAATATGGGTTTATTCAACATGACGTTCTTGAAGCCGAAGCTGAATTGCATGGTCATTTACAAGGTAAATCACATCATGATGGTTAAAATGCAGCATTACACATGTAAACATCAAATAAATGACATGTAAAAGGATAAATATACTAGATACATTCATACGCAAAATATATAGGCAGCATCATTAAACAAAACAAATATACAACATGCACGAAGCTTACTTTTTTAATACTAATCATTTAAGATGCGAACAAAATAGGAAATAGAGCTATTCTAAAATCGATTGGTTTAAAAATAAATTGAGAATATTTGTGTTCGTTTCGTAAATCAAAATTAACAATTCTTTGACTTGGTAGCCATAAAGAACAAAATCCACTTAATGGCAAAATCAAAACAAAGTTTATTCCTGCGTTCTTCCAACGTTAATAAATCGCACAATAATTGTACAGCATGATTATATGTTTCATAATTAAGTCCAAAAATAATTTTACATGCCCGTTTTTATATTCGTTCAATATTATCTGTTTGTTTACGCATTAGATTGGAATGAAAAAGTCGTGCACAATACTCTAATATTGGACTTATGTATCCAGTATAAACAATAACGAGAACAATAATGGGTTAATTACAACGTTTTAAGGTGCGTAACATATATAACTTTTTATTGCACTTCTTTAACATTTCCTTTACTTGAGTAGCCCATTTTAAATCACATTGTATATAAACTCCGAGAACATTTAAAATACGACCTTTATACGTTGGTACTTGTTGGCGGCATTTAAAAAAATCTACTATTAAAGTAGATATTCATTGATTTTAAAAACTAATTTTATTTTCATTATTGCAAAGTTGAAACTTTGACTCGACAAGGTAATCCAAATTCAATGCTTGGAAACATTCGAAGTAATGATTATTATAAATTACAAAACGCTTAAATACAGCCCCGGCATAGCACCTGAAGAGCTCTCCGAACGCTGCTGAGATGTGTGAGATCACAGTATGGACATGACTTGCACAAGCAGACGATGTCCCATGACATCTCACATATTGTCAGTGCCTGTGTTTTCATCTTCTCTTGAGTTATTTCTTTTACTTCACTACCGTCAGGCTAAATATATAATTTATTGCCTCACTATAAACCCCACGCATGCTTTTATTTTGATGACAAATGCAGCGATACAAAAATAAAGGAATCTGTCGCTTGTAAACAAAATAAGACGCCATTGTATATTCAGATGCACACACCGGGGTATGTTCAGCGTTTCAAGAGGGAACAAATGCCGTCCTTAATATCATTCCGGGGGTTTTTCAATTTGAAAGTCTGGTTTTTTGATTGTTAATTAACCCTTATCCTGTGTATTTACAAGCAAAAGATTTTAGTTATCAGAATCGGGTCATATCCCCTTTTGAATGGTTTGACATGCCATTACATTTATATACACTAAACTCATTATAATTTGAGAAATAATAGCTTTGCAATTATGTTCATTCTCTATGGGATGTCGTCTGCTTGGGCAGTGTTGGTCCATATAGTGACGTCATTAAAACATCGTTATTTTTCCGGCGAATCTCTCGTATATCCCAGCTGCTATGGAGGTGGTTGTATTTGTATTTTTATAAATCACCCGATATGTAGTTGACCTAAAACTTGTACAATGGCCATCTGTCAGCTTACCTGTTTCTAGTGATACATTAGTTGACATATTTGTGATCTTCTTTGAATTTCACCTTTAACGAAATGACACATGGTCGAACATCCAATTTAAAAAGTTTAAAAATTAAAATATTATGATCAATCATGTCAAACACATTTTAAAAATCGGTTAAAACTATGGTTGATTTTTTATTTAAATCTGCATTTTGTATAAATTATGTAACTTTCCAATTAAATAATGGCAATTTGAAAGGCCGCGACGATTTCCATACTGGTTTTTGTCAATGACATCTGACATCACCAATATCTTCCAACAACCACTTAGTAATGAAAGTTTCAGCTACTTAGCAAAGTATCATCACCATCATCATCAACATTATCACCAAAATCATCACCATCATCAATCATTGCCACCATCATTATTATCATCATCTTCACTACCATCACACCATCATCACCAGCACCGTCAACATCATCATCACCACTACCACCACCATTCCTCTGTCACACCGGCAGACCTTTCTAAAGACCGGGTGTAATGTCATCGTTAGTTTGGTTTGTCGTCGGTGTGACTGAGGTATCAGCATCACTGTCATCATAATCATCATCTTCACCATAATCCTACTCATTACTACAATCTTCATCCTCAGACCGAGGACACCCATATGCGCACACCTAAACAAATGAAGATGCGGTGAGTGCATAAGTGCGCCACAATCATTAAACAATATTGTATCATGAGTTTACATTGTCATTCATATCACTAATGTATCATACTAAACGGTTTCATTGTGTACATTATTGTTACCAATGTTATGTATCTGTTCGTCGTGGTATTTGTATTTGAAATACAACTTTTGGTAGGAACGAAGGAATAATAATAATATAATTATGGACCTGGCAAAACAAACTGTTTGACCTCAAAGCGGCTGTTGAAGGTTTGCAAAATACTTGTATGCAGGTCACCTAATGTTTCGAATTATTCTTCCGCTTAGCTCTCTTTCCGATTCCTTCGTCTCCAGGGCTCAATTAAGTATTCAGTAACTTTCTTGACGGCGAAATCATGTATAAGCTTAATTAGGTAGAGGCACAGAATGTTTTCTGCTGATGTCTCAGTTAAGGCCAGGTGACAAATCAAGTCAACAACATTTTGTCTGTTTGTCCTCTTTTCATATTCATCTTCCACCAAATTTTAAAAGCGATCATACTCTCACCATATAACAATGCATGTTTACGATACAGTGCCATGTGTACGTTCTTGTGAGTTCTCTATCAAAAACTATTTAATTGAATGACAACGCATATCATATTTGAATAGGCCGACAATCGTTTTACCTCCACTCGCCAAATTGCCTTGGTTCTTGGAGGACCTGTCATCTAGAAGAGGTTGGTTAGTGGTTGATGTAGGCTCCTGTGTCATGGTCTGTCCTCCTGAGGGCCCTTGCGCATGCGCTGCTTCGAGGAAATCTAGTCCTGCTTTTTGGAAATGAGAAAAGGTAATATTTAGGACTCGAGATATTTGACACAAACCACACAATAAAGAAAACCCCATATCATTTACAAGACATATATTTTGTTTAAAAAATCTTGATCAACATAATCACTGCTGACTACACAGATCTATATCAAAATAAAGATTCTTAATTTGTAGGTGAATATACCTATGTGTTCTTGTGTATTGACGGTTTAGCTCTGAGTATTGACTTTGAAAAAGCTTTTGATATGATTGACTGGAATTTTATGTACGACGGTCTTCATGTATTTGGATTTGATCAGTAGTTTATTAATTGGGTGAAATTACTGTATACAGATATACAAGGACGAGTTATTAATAATGGGTTCGCGTCAGATTCTTTTGAGGTAAAGCGTGGTGTGAGACAGGCGCGGATCCAGGATTTCTTAGGGGAGGGGGCCCAACTTTCTTTTTTTTTTTGCTCCCGAAAATTTGAAAATCGCGCCGGCCGAAAAGTCGCTCAGTGGGGGGGGGGGAGGGGTACAGAGCACATTTTTTTTTTTTTTTTTTTTTTTTTTTTTTTTTTTTTTTGCTCCCGAAAATTTGAAAAACGCGCCTGCCAAAAAAAAAAAAAAAAAAAAATCGCTCAGGGGGGGGGGGGGGGGGGGGGGGGGGGGGAGTGAGCACATTTTTTTTTTTTTGATCCTCAAAAAAATTTCGATTTGCACCCCCCCCCCCCCCCCTTGAGCGCCAGGGGGGGGCCCAAACCCCCAAAAAGGTAAAAATCACGTGATTTTACATGATTTTTTTCTCAAGGGGGGGGGGGGGGGCCCGGGCCCCCCGGCCCCCCCCCCCTGGATCCGCCACTGGTGTGAGACAAGGATATACTTTGTCTCCATATGATTTTATGATTGCAGTTGAAGTACTTGGCTGTTTTGTGAGACAAAATTAAGACATTCGTGGGTTAAAAGTATTAAATGAAGAGGTAAAGATTAGTCAATATGCAGATGACACGGTTATTTTTCTTGAACCTGATGAATCGAATATTCATAGATGCGTTAAAGTCTTGAATGATTTCAAAGAAGCTTCTGGTTTAAAAATTAATTTTGAAAAATGTAATATGATTAGACTGGGAAATTGTAAAGTTACTATGCCTATGTGTCAGGACATTCCATTTATTTGGTCTTCAGATTATTTTACATACTTAGGTATCAAAATTCCTTTGAATGGTAATTTGAGTTTTCATGATCTTAATTTCAAATCAAAATTTGAGGAAATTAAGACAAGGTTGAATATATGGAATCTTAGGTCTTTAACCTTGTATGGAAAAGTGACCATTATCAAATCTCTAGTTATACCAAAATTGATTTATTTACTTTGTATTCTTCCTGATCCCCCTTTATCATTCTTTTCAGAACTTCAGAGAGTACTCTTTAAATTTGTATGGAGTAATAAGAAGGACAAAATTAGACGCTCTTTGCTTTACAATGATTATAAAGAAGGAGGCCTTAAAATGCCTCTTCATTATCTTTTAACCGTGCAATGAAAGTTACTTGGATAAAGAGATACTTTGATGAAGAAAACAAAAGTAAATGGAAAATGTTTTTGCACATTCTCTGAGACGTATGGGAGGCGATATTTTTTTTAGCGGCAATCTCCGCTCTGATCATTTAATGTTCAATAAATACGCAGATCCTTTCTGGAATGATATATTGATTGCATGGAGTCACTACAAGTACTACAACCCAGTTAAATTCAAAGAAATTATTTCCCAACCCCTTTGCCTGAATTCTCATATACGCGTAGGCGGAAAACCTCTCAATATTAATATACGTTTTAAGTCTGATATGATATATGTTAAGGATATTTTGCGCACTGATGGTTCATTTATGTCTTTTGATCAAATCCAACGCCAAATGAATTTTCTGTCTGGTTCATTTATGTTATATTATTCAGTTCTTTCCGCATTACCTAGTAGTTGGAAACGTATTCTAAAACAGGGAAATTTTGAAATAGAAAATGCTTCTCTAAATTGTGTTGATATTTTATTGAACGAATTCCGTAAACCTAAAAAGATATCAAAACTTAAGTACAATATTTTCTTAAACAAATTTTTAGCAAAATATCTCAGAAACAAATCAACAGGATAAATGGCAAAGGGATCTACAAAATAATTTAAACGATTCACTCATTTGGAAATCCCGTTTTACATTACTTTATAGGTCATCCATAGATAATAAAATGAGAAATTTCCAATTTAAACTTATTCACTGAAAAATTGCAACACAAAGTTTTCTTTATAAGATAGGTATAAGTACTTTTTCAATGTGTACTTTCTGTGAAAATCCTGAACAGACGTTGTCTCATTTATTTGTAAATTGTGAAAAAGTACGATCTTTCTGGAATGTTATATGTGCATGGTTAAAAGAAAAGAACATACAAAATGTTTTGTTCACAGATGAAGAATATTTTTTTGGTACTCTCGTAATTAATAATTTTCATTTCGTCAATACAGTTATTATTTTTGCAAAATATTTCATATTCACTTGTAAAATGCAAAACGTTATTCCACTATTTCCTTCTTTTCAACGAGCTCAGAAAATATGGAACGTATAATTGCTTTCAAGAAAAATCGTCTCGATCTTCATAATAAGAAATGGCAGATATTTTGTTGATTTTTTTTAATTGCTGATGAGTTAACTATTACACTATATATTTATTATACAAATGTTATGTCTATACGAACATGTTATTATTACTATTATTATTATTATGTACTATTATTATTATGAATGAGATTTGTTTTCAATAAACACTTTTTTTAAAAAAAGGTTAAAAATTAAAATATTATGATCAATCCTGTCAAACACTTTTTAAAAATCCGTTAGGGGAGCCTTCCAAAGTATTTAATGTTTGAATCAAGTTCCCCTTCCTCTACACGTAGCGCGGAAGCTCTGACGTTTCATTAGATTATTAAAGAAAGAAGATGATTCAATGTACCATTCTCTACTCTTAATCCTTGTCTGCATTCAGTTCACCCCCCACCCCCACACCCCCCCCCCCTCCCGCGCGAAGCGCGGAAGCTTTGACGTTTCAGTAAATTATTAGAGAAAGAATACGATCGTTTCGTTGTACCGTTTTTTTTACTCTGAATCCTTGTCTGAATTCAGTTTTCCCGCTTCCGCGCGAAGTGCGGAAGCTTTGACGTTTCATTAGACTATTAAAGAAAGATAACGATTCGATCTACCATTCTCGACTCTTAATCCTTGTCTGAATTCAGTTCCCCTTCCTCCGCGCGTAGCGCGGAAGCTCTGACGTTTCATTAGAATATTAAAGAAAAAAGACGATTCGATGTATCATTCTCGACTCTATATCCTTGTCTGAATTCAGTTTCCCCGCTCCCGCGCAAAGCGTGGAAGCTTTCTCCTTGTCTCCGATCTCATCACGAATTCGTCACAGAGTTCATCTATGTTAACACTGTCCAGGATTGTCTGATGTGCATTGCAGATTGCTTCTTTTGCGCTTCGCGCTTAACATTTAGCTCGTTGCTTTTTAACGCTGCGTCTTTGCATTTGGCGCATTGCATTTCTATGATGCTGTTGATTGAACAAATTGAATAAATTCATCAATTCCTGATGAAGCCGTATGAGCGAGAATTCAATTTATTCTTGTCTCACATACGGTTGTCTCATTTACTTCCTATATATGTATGTATTATGAAAACGAGATAGCAAAATGTGTACATTGATGATCATCTTGCGAGTAATAACCTTTAACTACTCTCATCGGGCTCTCATCATTAATTTGTTTTTTATGGTGAATTATTGGGATGATTGTACAGGCCATCCCCGTTACACCAACAAAATAATGTAATAACGCCCACAAATGTAATAACACTTTACCCACAAATGTAATAACACCCACAAATGTAATGACACTTTACCCACAAATGTAATAATTTCACCTACAAATGTAATAACCACTTTACCCACAAATGTAATAAATTTGGAGTGATATTTTGTCGAATTTGTTCAAAACTAAGACCCCATATTCCTTTTCCTGTGGAATAACATGAGAATCGAGCGTAGTCTTTCCTCCAGACCCGGTTATTCAAAAGTTAAAAAAAAAAAAAAATTTAAACTAAGACCCCACTATCTTCCAAACTAAGACCCGGTAATAAAGCATGGGTTTAGAGCGTAGTTTTTCTTCCAGACCCGGTTAGTTCAAAAATTTAAAAAATCTCCAAAACTAAGACCCCATAATCCTTTTCCTGTGGAATAACAAGAGAACGTAGTCTTTCCTCCAGACCCGGTAATTCAAAAGTATATAAAAAAAAATAAAAAAACTTTTAAACTAAGACCCCACCATCTTCCAACTAAGACCCGGTAATAAAGCATGGGTTTAGAGCGTAGTTTTTCTTCCAGACCCGGTTATTTCAAAACTTTTTAAAAATCTTCAAAACTAAGACCCTATCATCTTATTCCTGTGGAAGAATATGAATATTGAGCGTAGTCTTTCCTCCAGACCCGGTTATTCAAAAGTTTAAAAAAAAAATAAAAAAAAACTTTTAAACTAAGACCCCTCCATCTTCTAAATTAGCAACCGGTAATAAAGCATGGGATTAGAGCGTAGTCTTTACTTCAGACTCGGTTATTTAAAAAAAAAAGAAAAATCTTCAAACTAAGACCTCACCATCTCATTCCTGCGGAATAACATGGGTATAGAGCGTAGTCTTTCCTCCAGACCCGGTTATTTCAAAATAAATAGAAATTTAAACAAATCTTCGAAACTAAGACCCACCATCTTAATCCTATTTTTTTCTTTAAAAAAAAAATAAATTACATTATTACATATGTGGATAAAACACGTCACAAATAAATGATTGGTCGGCGGTCACACGAACTGACGAATCAGTCAAAATGGTCCATATATATATAACACACAGAGGAGGGACCGATTCGATGGTTCGTTGACCGTCGACGATTTTTTAATCATGTAAATATTCTAACGCCCACAAATATCCTGTAATTCAATGTTCGTAGAAAAAAAAGTAATCGAATAAGTGACCTTAACTGTATTTAAATATTGACGCTGATTGTTTTATGCATGTGATTATGAAATATGTTCACGATATGTAACATATGGAATTATAATAAATATCAAATATTTAGGAGCGCTAAAAACAATATGTACCATAGCGCTTACAAATACAAATATATGAAAAGAGGACAAAAAAGTACAGTACAGGAAGTACATCACATAGATCATTGGGGGAAAAGGTGAGTTTTGAGGGATCTTTTGAAGGTGGCAAGACAGGTAATTTCCCTTATGGCAAGAGGGATGCTGTTCCATGTCTTTGATGCAGCTACTGCAAAGCGTTTTTCAGCTGCTGAGAGTCTAGATTTGGGAATGTTAAGTTTACATGTGTCGGTTGCTGAACGAAGATTACGAGTTGGTGTATATATTTGGAGGGTGTCATTAAGATATATATATATATATATATATATATATATATATATATATATATTTATGTACGCTATTAGTGACATTGAAACGTTGGATTGATGTTACATTTTCATGAGTGCGTGAATGAATTACCTTTCTTCAAGTGATCAACGTATCAATTACTTATACTGAAGACTACCAATTGGTACGCGGTATACGGTGTGAATTCATGAGAACGAAATTTCTTCAAAGGCAAATACAAACAAAACACATTTATATTACAGTTTTCCCTACTTCTGAAACACTCAAGCAGCTAGATAAACAAGAACAAGTCTGAAATGATAATCGGTTTAACAAGCAAATAACAACGCATATTTCATATAACAAATCATAAATAGCTGTATAACGAGATCACGCGAAACATATTTGCATGTTTTGAATGAACGATTGCAGAACCCTTTGACTGATAAAATATCTATATACTCTCTCAATAAATGTGAGTAAATTGCAGAGGTTATGGTTTTATAGTAATGCAATGATGGATACATAGATTTTGTAAGATAGAAAGTATTTTGAAAAAATTTCGTTCTCATAAATTCACACCAAATCATCGACGGTCAATGAACCATCGAATCGGTCCCTCCTCTGTGTGTTATATATATGGACCATTTTGACTGATTCGTTAGTTCGTGTGACCGCCGACCAATCATTTATTTGTGACGTGTTTTATCCACATATGTAATAATGTAATTTTTTTTTTTTAAAGAAAAAAAGAGGAATAAGATGGTGGGTCTTAGTTTCGAAGATTTGTTTGAATTTCTATTTATTTTTGAAATAACCGGGTCTGGAGGAAAGACTACGCTCTATACCCATGTTGGGCGTCCTACATAGCCGATAAGCCTTTTCCTCGCCAGCCACTGAATTCTTCAACATTAAATAAAAGTTTAGCTTTTAAAAATCCAATTTATCCAAATCTATATATCAAAAAAAAGTAAATCTAATTTTAAAGGAATAAAAATCCTAAGAGAAGAGGCGTAAATATTCACTTCTGAATGACAAACGCCTATAAACTAAATCAACAACAACAAAAACAACAACGTTATTCCACATGAATGAGATGGTGAGGTCTTAGTTTGAAGATTTTTTTTTTTTTAAATAACCGAGTCTGAAGTAAAGACTACGCTCTTATCCCATGCTTTATTACCGGGTCTTAATTTTTTTTTTTTTTTTTTTTTTTTTTTTACTTTTGAATAACCGGGTCTGGAGGAAAGACTACGTTCGATTATCATGTTATTTCACAGGAAAATGATTATGGGGTCTTAGTTTTGAAATTTTTTTATTTTTTGAAATAACCGGGTCTGGAGTAAAGACTGCGCGCTATACCCATGCTTTATTACAGGGTTTTAGTTTTGAACGAATTCGACAAAATATCCCTTCAAATTTATTACATTTGTGGGTAAAGTCATCATTACATTTGTGGGTGATTCAAAATTATTACATTTGTGGGTAAAGTGGTTATTACATTTGTGGGTGAAATTATTACATTTGTGGGCGTTATTACATTTGTGGGTGTAACAATTCCCCCCCCCCACCTGAAATATTGGGGGGGGGGGATATATCCCCCCCCCCCCCATCCCCCCGGGATCGACACCCATGTACATGATCGTATGTTTTCACACATAATGACGTTAGAAATAATGTACATTCGATCAAAGGCCAGTTGGTCCAATACCCAGATAATCTCCTTTAGTCTATGCACAGATTTGCTCCACTGTGTACATGGTCCAGTCAGTGTTTCGTACAATCATTATTTAGTCTACGCAGCAAGAAGGGCTAATCTATAATCGTGTGGTTCCAATCACCACTTCCGCAAATCAATAATTTGTACTACTTGATCCAATAACCATTTGATCCATCATTATTCGGTCCGTTTCCCATTTTGTCTGTAATAAAATGGTCTGAACCCCAATTACTCCAAGAACCATTTCGTCCATAGTTTAGTTCATATACAGGTAATGTAAATACGTCTTTATATGTATTTCGTCTTCACCTTGTGGTTGAATGAAATATACGAATGAGTGGTGGCCTTTATAATGCTTAGAGTTAAACTTTAGTCATGATCCAAAAACAAAAAAAATATATATATATATATATATATATAATTATATAGGCCTACATGTACATCATCATATCAAGTTTTGATGGTAAAGTCGCTTAACCTTAAAGATATAGACCGGTAGTGGTAAAATTGTGGTTCAAGGGTTTTGGGTAAAAAAAATATCCATTCAATATTGTTTCAATATTGCCTTGAGGTCTAGATGGTAATACTTCAACCTTTATACGCAAAAAAAGCAGAAAAATTATGCCCAAATGTTCAATGTTGAAGTGCATTCGCACTATCTATCCAGGCTGGATTGATATGATAATTTACCCAATATATCAATTAGTACGCGGTTGCCCGGTAAAATTTGTATCATCACGTATTAGTCAAATCATATTCTTTCACATGATTGGTAATAAGAGCTTCCATTTCATTTTTGAGAGAGGGGCGTTTCCAAAACTGGTCTATACCTTTAATTTCTACTTATTATAATATTGCGATCATTTAATTTCTGTGTTGCGTTTATGCACCACATGTCGATCTGTACCGTACATATAACCATATAGGATGTCATTTTGCCGGAATAGGTCCTTTGTGATAAGCTATGAAATATCGATACTCTGGGATTAGAACAACTAAGCATCTGCATAAAATGTTTTACCTTGGAAATTTGTGTTGAATTTGATCGTCTTTGTGGAGGTTAGAATCACTTCAAGTGTCACTAATGTCTCATCACTCTCCTCGGTTAGATCGAGATCAAAGTACCTTGTCACTTTCGGATGCTTCTTCATTTCACTGAACTGAATGACCTGAGGAAATAATTTATTTGAATTCATGATTGTATGAAATAGGCGCCAAAACGCAAATGTAGGGAGTACTGATGAAAATAAATGAAAAAAAATCGTCTGTATTTTCAATCTTTTTCCAATCGATTCCATGTTTCGCATCTAATTTCTTCAAGATAAATTCAATTTCTTCATCCCGGCTACCAACGTATACATGCATGAACCTTTTTTTTTGATTTTTCAGTGAATTTCGTTAAAGGATCATTCAAATTGCTCACTCGTTCGCTTACTATAATTATATACATGCATGTGTTACGTATACTTTACGGTTTTTTATTTTCTACCCGAAGCCTGCTTTGTGTATGTGTAAATATATATGTATATTCCTAGTAGTGTTGGTCTATGAATATTCATTATCATTATCATCACCATTAGAATGATTCAATTGTCAGTTATTTGGCACTTTGTTTAAACTTTTCTCCTTTTGGCTCTACATTGGTTGTTTTACCTTTTATCATAAACTGTTCTTGTGTCCAGTTTCCACATGGCCCTTGTTTCAATTTATTTTAACTAAGTATAGGTAATTCTGAGAACCAAAGTATGCTAACGTGTACCTGTGTTTTGGATCTCTTCTCACCCAGCTGGTAAGCGACTTTTAGTGTTCTCCTCCGAAACACAATATCATCGTCATCGCCCTTCACATGTTGGAAACGGTGATCATCTATGTCATGGACATCTTTCTGAAAAATCACGTGTACAAACAGTATTCTGATGAAGTTATCTGGAAATTGTCAAGTAGCTGGATATCATATGTACACTTGTATTTACACATAATCTCGAATTTAGGTGTATTTCTACTAAAGTACGCGTTTGAATCTTTCTTTGAATTTTTGTTATTCATTCACAATGCTCATAACAGGTTTCATTACCTCTCATTTTGGAAAGCAAGTTTCAATGCATAAAATGTTACCTATGTTGTACTCATAACGTATTCATATGTGTCACCTGCCTTATGTTCGCATTTGCTTTGTACATTATGGTGTAAACAAACTCAGTATAATGCAATATTCACGTTACCGAGGTCGCCCTGGCGAGGCAGTTTCTTTGTTTTTTTTCTACCAAACAATTACGTAACCACACCTATATCAATAGACATCGGTTGATTCAAATTATTTGGTCATCGCCCTACGCATTAAGCTGCGTTGTTTCGCTGACAATCTCAACATACCAATTCTTGCCACAGTAAATGATCCCTAATTTTCCTTTACAACCGCCAACTACGATGAGCTTCATGACTTATTTTACTCCTTATAGCCACTCTGATGATTCCACAGCACCCCAGAGTAACGCGGACTTTGTTTTAGAAGAAATTAATCGTTTAAATTTACAAATGCCTGATTTAGAACTGAGTCATGATGAACATTTCTCATGAGAAACATAATTGTCGGTGCAATCTACAAGCCACCAAACTCAAATCTTACTGATTTTATTGATACATTACAAATTATGTTAACCTCACCGTCCTTTAATGATAAACATTGTATGATAATGGGCGATTTTAATCTTAACCTATTTAATTATAATGAAAAACCAAACTGTCGGGATTTCTTGGATATCATGACTTCTTAATCACTTTTCCCAAGTATAACGAAACCCACACCAATTTCTGATACTGCATCAAACCTTATTGATAATGTGTTCTCCAATAGTTCCAATTGTATGGATCAAGGCATTATAGTTTCTGACATATCAGATCATTTCCCAGTGTTTACATGTACCCTAATATTTCTAACACATTCAAGCCTGATATTCAGAATATCAAAGTGGGTTCACGTCATATGTCAGAAGAGAATATAGCTAGACTCAGAGCAAGTCTGATACTCACTGACTAGTCTGTAGTTATTGACAATAATGATGCTAATGATGATTATAATAAGCTAGTTGATATAATTATGGCTTTATGTGATATCTATATTCCAGTGAAATCACCTTCCAAGTCGAGTTATAAAAAGGTACCTAGATCCCCCTGGATCTCCAAGTCTGTACTCAGATCCATTAACCGGAAAAATAGTCAAATATATATCTAAAAGAACAGATGAATCTAAGGTAAAATATTCTTCCTATCGTAATTCCCTAACATCTGTAACTATGATACGTAGGGCAAAAAAGAATTATTCACCCCAATTCACCACTCATATAAATACATAAAATCAACCTGGAAAATTATTAATAATGTTCTCAGAAAAGGTGAAAAGAAAAAAAAATAGAATTTAAGTGAGATCGTTCACAACGGAAACGAAATTAAAAAAAACTTTCGGCATAGCGGAGGCATTCAACTCTTTTTTTGTAAATATAGGACCAGATCTTGCCAGTAAAATCCCTGTCACGAATAATTATTTCCACTCGTTCCTAGGAAACCCAAATCATCAATCAATATTTCTTGTACCCATGCATGAAACTGAGATTATTAACATCGTGAATAACTTAAATGTAAAGAAAATTTCTAGCTGTGATGGTATCTCAAATTATCTCCTCCAAACTATTATCTATGAAATAGTCTCTCCATTGACATTTGCATTTAATTTGTCCTTGGTAGATGGAATAGTACCAAGTAAAATGAAAATTGCTAAGGTAATTCCAGTCTATAAAAAGGGTAATGTCGACGAGGTAGGCAATTATCGCCCACTATCTTTACTGACATCAATTTTCAAATTACTCAAAAAAATTAATATATTCTCGCCCCATCCGATTTTTAAACACCGGCAACATTTTAGTAAATTCTCAATTTGGTTTTCGCCAAAGACACAACCACGCACGCGATAATAATGTTAATTGATAAAGTAGCAAAACCTATCGATAATATGTCTCATACCTTTGGCTTTATTCTGGATTTCTCCAAGGCCTTCGACACAATTAGCCACGAGATTCTACTTTACAAATTATCCCATTACGGGATCCGAGGGAAGGCCTTGGAGTGGTTCCGAAGCTACCTTACTGGTAGAACCCATTTTGGGTCCATTAATAACCAAAACTCAAACTCAGAATTAATATCTTGCGGGGGACCACAAGGCTCCCTCCTTGGCCCACTCCTCTTTATTATTTATGTCAATGATTTCCAAAAACTCATCAACATTTCTCTCGTTCCTCCTCTTCGCGGACGATTCAAATATATTTCTTTCTCACAAAAACCCCAACATGCTTCTTGATATTTTGAATTATGAACTAAATTTTGTATTTAAATGGATACAGGCTAACAAACTGTCTCTCAATTTGAATAAGACTAATTTTATGCTCTTAAGCAACACATTAATTGATCTTGGCCCAGACAAACTCCACGAAATTTCTCGTCCTGTATATTGACAGTAAATTATCATGGAATATTCATATTGATTATATGTGTAAAATTCTGTCAAGAAATACAGGTATAATATATAAACTGAAATTTTATTTTCCCTCTCATGTATTATTATTATCACCCTATCTAAATTATGGTATATTATTATTCAAAAAAGATCAATACGAACAATTAACTTTGCTGATTTTTGCTCCCATACTGATGGATATTTTCGTACGGACAACATACTGAAAATATCTGATTTGTACTATTTTTGTCTAGGCATATTCATATACCAGCTAAACAAAGGTGATTTACCCAGTGTCTTTACTCCCATGTTCATAAAAAAAACAATGCCGTCTACTCATATGCGCCTGTTATCTGTACTCGGAAGGCCCTCGGGTATGCGAACGTGCTCGCCTAGATGTGCCAGGTGCTTGTTTTCTTGCTGGGGTCGTCTGCTGGGGTCGTCTGCATGGATCAGTTGTTGCTGGGCCGGACAAGCCATGTGGCTTGTCCGGCCTGCGTCTTTTTTTTCCGTAAGGTATATCCTGTCGCTGCATTTGATTGGCTCAATATGACCTATACATCATGCGCTAGTCATCAACATCCATGATACGCACGCACACAGAATCTGATGCGATAATTTATCAAATATGAGATTTCATACAAGAATTACAAATGCAAAGCTAAGTTTACTTTAAATAAGTGATATTGCGACAAAATCGGGAGGCTTACCGTAAACAAATGACTTACCAGGTCGTAACTTTTCCATAATCATTGCGACATACTGGTTTATTTAGTCCTAAATCTGGCCGATTTAATTTGAATTTGATCTCCACCTCACCAACGCAAATATTCATATATTCAAGTATTAATATGCATTCTAGGAAGGCTACCTTACGGGAAAAAAAGATCCGTCCGGCCTGGCAACGGCTGCTGTATGCAGATTCATGCATGTGATACTGCGGGGGAGGCGTGGGGCGTGGCGCAGGTGAATGTGTTTGTGTGCCTTTGGGCTCTCTGGGGGCAGACGTGTATGGGTTTGTAATGGAAACTGTGGATTGTGTCTGGGCTCCGGCCTACATAATTATTATTGTATCATGATTGTTCATGTCTACTGCCTCGTTCGAGCGCCTCAATATTTTAAAGTGACCAACGTGACATTTTTTTGGTAACAAATTAATTTGCTATTTTTGCTTGTTTCACTTTGTATATGATTCTATTTTAAGGCCTTCTTGTCCACCTATTATTATTGTTACGTCCTTCACCATTGCAACCACTTTAATCAAATGTTAGTTTTATTCATGGGAACCTATGATCTACAAGCTGAGCTTTTCAATAGGTTCCTCACATTTCACCCTGTATATCCTACTATACAATTATTAATTTCGACGTCTTTTCAAATAATTAAATATATGATGTGACACTTTTTAGTATATTTCATATTATGTTCTAATTTTGTCAATTATGTTTTTTTTTAATGTGAAATGTGAAACAAATAAACTTGAAACTTGAAACTTGAGGAAAAAAGCTGTGGTCGCATGAGTCAACCAAATCATTTAGTATAGTATAGTAGTATAGTATGTAAACGTCCAAAATGGCATTGATTTAGAGGAATAGTCAGAACAGTATAGGGCAAGAGCATTCTATTTATAATAGAGATGTTACGGATAAGTCTAATATTATATTTTCGGCATCGGGATATTCATTCATTTATTTAATATTATGAAAGTGGAAAAGTTATAAGGTATAGTCTAAAATGCAAGACAGTTATCAAGATGTTGACTAGACCATGCTTGATGAATAATTAAAACCAAAACTAAAGGTGCAACCCCCCACCCCCCCCCCCCCCCCCCAAAAAAAAAAATAGTAATAATATCGTAACAGATGTCGAAGTAGGTAATCATGTTTCGTTTTAACATACAAATACTTTTGGTCAAAGTAATTAATTGGCTTCATTTTGAAATATGATGATGCTCTAAAACTGTTAATTTGCGACAGAACCTTTTAATGGGATTGTACCACATCCTCACCATCGAACCCAGGATAAACAAAACCTGTCTGCAGTGATCAGGCTTAAATACGCCCATAAAAATGTTGATAATGTCTGTTTACCCATTTTCGTTCATGTGGCTTCTTTACGAAACGAACCTCCAGGACTGGTATTCTGGAGGGAGGCATGAGTCTGGGAAGAAACGACATGCATGACAGCAATATGCCCTTCCGAAATCGCCAGTTCTGAATAAAGGCAAAGAATCCTCCACAAAAATGGCTGATTGAGGCCTCTAGCCACCGTTCTTGTACAGAACAAATAATGTTGTCTGGATCGGAAAGCCGTTTAGGTGTACCTTTAAAATAAAACAAAACGAACTCAATTCAATAAAAGTCGACAGAAAACTATCTTAATAATTGTCTAACCTATAAGGCTCAACATAATTATGCATTCGATGTTATTTTAGCGACTGGAATACAATTCAAAAGGGAAAAATTAAAAAAAACAGGACTGACTTTATCTTCTTCTTCTTCTTCTTCCTCCGCTCTATCGGAGATCAGCAGCTACCAGGGTACTGCAGTTTGTCATAGCAGGCAGGATTGTCAAGTCAAGTAGAAAATGTATTAGCGATTGCATTAGCACGAGCAGAGTGGATATTGTATAAAAATGACAGTGATGCATTAATAAGAAGATTCTTTTGGTTAGGGCAGACAGTTAGAACATTCGGAAGTAGGACTGCCCGCGTGAAGGTCTCAGGGTCATCTGGACTGAATAGAGCGAGTGTCGACTGCTGTACGCCCCTGTGGTGGAGATTGTCGACCAGCTTCTGGCGATGATTCCTAAGTGGTTTACACTTGGCTATGAAGTGTGTGATGTCCTCCTCTTCCGCTTTGCACACTTGGCAGAATCGGATCGTACCCTTCTTGATTTTACACAGCCGGGATTGAGTTAGGTACGTCTGAGAGAGAAGTTGTGAGCGTACAATGATGGCTTGACGTAGAAAACTTGAGGAGATGGACTTCGGGTAAAGGTCATGGGGGGAGCTAGTGTTATTCTTGAAGAAGGCGAGAGATGATTTTGCATTGATTGCCTCACGGACTTTCTTCTGCATAGCCGAGTCAATTGCAGACCTAGTGACTGACTTCCATGTAACGTAGGGAACGGGCTTGGAGAGGAGGGAGTGAAGGTTGGGGAGCTCATAACTTCTCAAAGTTCTTTCCCAGGTCCTCGCCAAGGGAGTGAAGTTGGTAATAGCATGATGTAGTGTGCGTACCTCATATCTTGAGTGTGGCAGATTGATAAGTTGACCTATGACGAGGAGAATTTCTTGGTCAACTCGCATGCTCAGAGGAAAGAGGCCTGTGAGAAGATAGACAGCATCATCGGCAGCACTGTTGGGGAGCCCGAGAATCTTCTTGAAGAGCTGGTATTGGGATCTGTCCAGTTTATTTAGCCTTGTCTGGTTGAGCTTCATGATGGCCACTCCATACAGCATACGTGGGATGCAGTATGTTTTCCAGAGTCGTGCACAGTGGTGTGGTAGAAGACCTCCTGTGTATGCACCCGCTCCAGTGAGGGCATAGAAGGTTTTTGTGCCTCTGGAGATCATTAGGTCTGTTGGATCATGTTTGGAGGAGGACTTTATCATATCCCTCTATTTAGACAGGTTTATCTTTAATTTTTGTTAAACCCATTATACTGGATATTTCTGTATACTTTCTATTTTACAACTTTAAACCAAGTAAAATATCATGTTATGTTGAATTGTATATCTGATTTCTTGTCAAAATTACCGTTCTGTTGGAAATGAAAAATAAAACTGAACTGAACTGAACAACAACAAATATAATCTTTGGCGATATGAGGAGTAAATATTGATATATTTGTCAATTCAATGAAAAAATATTTCCATTACAAAATCAAGTAAACATTATTTTCAAGGAACATTTCTGTCATGAATCTCTCAGGCTCCTGGATAAGGAAAGGAAAAAAATGCGTACATAGGCCTTAAAGGGACTGTTCAGATGAGAGATAGTGGTGCTAACGTAATGGCTTCAATGCTAGATGTACAAATAAAGATAATCTGAAAATTTGAGTGAAAACGGACCATTATTAATGATACAAATTGGGAACAAATGATCTGATCGGTTCTTTAATTCTTCCAACTATATTATTACAATTAAATTACATTTTAGGTGAATGCAAATCGTCCAAAAGCAATAAATTGGCTTAACATACCATTCCAGACATTTAAGTGGTAAAAGAATTATAAAAGCCTGTTTTATGTTGTTTTTTCATGGAAAAACGGTTTGGAAAATTCAAAAATGGTTGGGGGAATTTACTGTTAATCACTGTTAGAGGGTGTTGCACAGTGACGCCTTAAAAAAAAACCATAGATATCTTCGTTGTTTGGGATTTTTTTTAAGGATTTTGTGCATGTCAGAGTGTTAGTACAGTAAAAGGAATATAATAAGTGACAACCTTCAACAATGTTACTGAGTCACTTTAATATAAAATGGATAAAATACAACTATGATAGTCTGCAGGGGCGTCGCCAAAGGAGGGAGGATGTGTGGGGTGCGACACCCCTCCACCTGTCAGGATATTGTCGGTTAAATTGCGCTGCCGTCGGGAAAAAAGAGAGAAGGGGGAGGGGGAAAAAGAGAGGGAAAGGGAAAGAAAAGAGAAAAGAAAAGGAAAAGAAAAGAAAGAAAGGAAAAGAAAGGAAAGAAAAGAGAAAGGAAAGAAAGAGAAAAAAGAAAAAGAGGGAGAAGAGGAAAGAAAGGAAAAGAAAGAAAAGGAAAAAAAAGGGAAAAAAAGAAGAGAAAAGAGAAAAGGGAAACAAAAGAAACGGGGGTGAAGAGAGGAGGGAGGGGGAGGTAAGAGCCCGAGAAAGGAGGAGTGGGAGTAAAAGGAAGGGGTGGTTGTGGGTGGAGTCGTCTCGTTAAGGAAACAAGAAAGACATGGGTAAATATATTGCTGTGTCGGGTCAGCTGTGTCGGTATTCTTGCTCGATCCTCGTGTACTACTATTATATCAATGCAGAAGTTTGAAGTCGGTGACATGTATATTGTCGGTCGGCCGACAGGTTTTGTTTCCTTGCGAACTGTGACTTTTCATCCGCTGTGACGTCTCCGAGAGTGACTGCAACTACAATACTTGTATTTTCTCGAAGTTTCACTTTCCTATAATTTCAGCTAAAGAAATCAGAGGTTTACAATTTTCGGGATTCATACAAGGATTAAGAGTCAACAACGGTACGATAAATCGTCTTCCTTTCTCTATATTTTGATGAAACGCCGAAATTTCCGCGATTTGCGAAGAGGAGGAAAAACTGAATTCAGATATTGGATTAAGAGTCGAGAACAGTGGGTGGGGAAAACTTCATTTAGACGAGTCGAGAACGGTACAACGTATCGTTTTCTTTCTCTAATAATTTGAGGAAACGTCTAATCTTCTGCGATTCGCGCAGAGGGGGGAAAATGAATTCAGATTTTAGGATTAAGAGTCGAGAACAGTACAACGAATCGTTTTCCTTTCTCTATATTTTGATGACACGCAAAACTTCATTTAGACGAGTCGAGAACGGTTCAACAAATCGTCTTCTTTCTCTCATAATTTAAGGAAACGTCAAAGCTTCCGCGCTTCGCGCAAGAGGGGGAAACTGAATTCAGATAAATAGAGCTTAATAAGAATTGAAAACGGTGCAACGAATCGTCTTCTTTCTGTAATAATTAAATCAAACGTCTAAGCTTTTCGCGCTGGAAGGGAAAAACTGAATTCAGACAAGGATTAAGAGTCGAGAACAGTGGGTGGGGAAAACTTCATTTAGACGAGTCGAGAACGGTACAACGAATCGTTTTAATGTGGTTGGATGAGCAAGTGTGCGCTTATAAAATGGCGACTGGCCGGAATGCTCCCCAGGGAGTCGAATATGTGCATATATTATGTGTGCGGGTAAGCCTGCATCCGATGACCGGGGTAATAATACTGCGCATAGAAACAAAGTATTCGGCGCGTTATAAATGCGATGTAGTAATATTGTACTTGCGGAAAGGCTCAAAAAACAAGATTTAGTTACCTGACTGATTCCAGAAATACAGTACGGTCTTTACATTGTTATGAGCACTAACTAATGCACAGTGAGGTATTATCAACATTGCCGGTTTCTTAAAGCGTAGCCCGGACGGGTAGCACTGGAAGCCATGGCTGGCTAGAAGCTCGTCTTTTTTAAGTGTGAGACTATTTGGAATCTCGGTCAGGACCCGAAGGCTGATTTCCTCATCTTTCTCAAGAGCATCAGGTGGAATGTGGAGTACAAAACCATGACATTTGGTTGACAGTTTCCCTCCAAGGGCCCCAAACTTTCCAGTTGCAGAACTACCATCTGATAACAACAATGCAAATATATATATTAACAGCACACTGTACAGTAAATATATATTTTACAAGCTCTGACGTCACAGACGAAAACCTCTTGCTAGAGATACATTGCATGTAATGACCATGAAGTATCGACTCCAAGACTCACTTCATTTGTTGTTGTTTTTGCGAAAATAACAACGTCAGGAGGATACATGAAAATACAAAGGGAACAGACAATTTGATGTTTATAAAGACATTAGATGGTTACTTTTGAAAACAATTATGTAGTTTATATATTTATGTTTTTTACCTTTGATCTGATGCAGGGGTAGTGATTCTTGCCTGTGACCTCATATATATCAAAATAAAATGAATCAACAAAGTCCTTATTTGGAGGTGAATATACCTATGTGTTCTTGCAGAACAATATTCACCTGCCTCAGATTCATAAAGCGTATCTCACCTAAAGCGTGGTCTATTGGCTCTACACTGTCTGATCCAAATTGCGCCTTTTCCAGAAGATTGTCAAAATCGTTCTTCTTGGCCTCCGTAGTTCCTCTTTTGAAAATAAACACAACAACAACATACATATAAACAAACTCAATACAGTAAACAACTATTTTATTCATACCTCTTGTGAATTTGATGTCTTTTTGGTGTCTTTTTCGAAACTCAATAATGAAAGGTGGACAGGTTGAATTAGGGTATTTGTTGAATTTGAGTTAACTGAATGTTAATTTGCATGCTGATTTTACGAAGTTGGGCGGACAATAAATGCCGCTGTAATATAAGAATCAGCACATGAAATTAGTTTGCGAGATAGACTCATGAATAGTTAAACTTACTGATATGATTCGTCAGGTAAAGCTTGAGAGGTGCCAGCAGTTTCCGTATTCAAGAGAGCAATGCCCTTTGCACCATCTAAAAATTATTGAAATGTATTGCAGTATTAATTGACATGTGGCATTGACAGATTATATAAAATGTGAATAATCCCATTAATAATACAGACATTAATTTCTATCCTCATCAATTAAGAATCCGACACAATACATGTACAAATGAATGAAACATTGAATGATACCCCCCCCCCCCCTCCTATTTCACCTTCAAAAACATAATTATAACATTATTCTAATAGTGTGATCCTTCACAATTTAGTAAAAAAGGAAAAAAGTGACGGATCTCTCATTCAGAAAATCCAGATGCATGACATTGAACAGTTGTCTAGAACTTAAAAGCAAACATTTTGATGAAGCAAATAGAAAACAGACAACACAAAACCACATACAATAGTTAAAACAAATAAAATAATATTACAAAAATGAAGTTCTTTCAAACTATTGTAGACGATGGGTGCGAGGTGTAAAAGGAATTTACAGTGGTCATGGTTTAAATACATTTTAATGTTTATTTCACATAGTAGCTACTTTATATTCATTTAAGGTAACTATTGCAACTTTAAACGTATAAATATATATATAGGAAGAAAGTATTATATTTGGGATTTAAATTAAGCTAAAGGGGAATACTCTCAATATATAAATGTGGAATACAAGAGTGCGATTTGACTAAATATTGTCATATACATTCACTAGGCCAATCAATCATTCCAAAACTATTCCAAAATGATAAAATTGAATGATTCCTTCCTATGTTGTACTTGAGAGTAGTAGAAGACTATAATTGCACGATTTACGATACCCTTGGTTTTCTCTGATTTCGAAACATCCTCCACAGACTCCCCATCCGACTTTAGTGTCTGCTTTGCTATAGACCCTGAAGTATGAGATGCTATCCAACTTGAGAGCATTTTGATGTTAGCGTTTTTCCTATTGTTTAGTATCCGATGTTCGGTGTGTTGTAACTATGACGTGTTTGAATCCCAGCATCCCGCCAATCTCAAAGAACTGTTTCGGTCTAATCTGACGGGCGAACGCAAGCAGTGTCCTGTGAGGAATTTCTCTGTATCATTGGATAAAGTCTAAGTTAAGAAACCCACAAGTATATCTTTTTGCTTCTTCAAAATAATACGGTACTTCAACTCACCGACAGATTATAATGAGAGTTTCAAGGTTCTAGTATTTGGACGTGTGCACGTGTAAATCTTTTTCTCCTTTTCTCTCATTTTGTTAATTTCTATTTAAAGGGATAGTTGAGTTCTGTTTTCAGACTGCAAATGCCTTCAAAGTGCGTGCGTATTGCTTTTATTCTTATCTTTGACATTTCTAGTACCCTTTTGGGACCTAAAATTGCTACGAAGGTAATTTTAGACCCCAAAATGTGTAAAAATTTAGCCAATACGACCATACCAATTCAGTTCCACTTTCAAAAAAATACGATGACCGTTAATTAATTAATTAATTAATAATAACAATACATGGGCCGGCTGGTTGAGCGTAATATAACCAACACGACAAAGCCAACAAAAAATTCTAACATCGGAATTGGCTGAAATACAACGTAAAGGGCGTTATTTCGTTTTTTTTCAACGGCTATTCAAATTATCAAAGATTTGTGGTGGTACACAAATATGAGAAATCGTTATATTTATAGATATTTAATCCGTCTCTCAACCGATTTTGATCAAACAAAGATTATTTTTTCATTTGAATTGTATGTTCTTTCAAATTTGACACTCAGTTTTTAATATGTTGTACGGTATTTTCCACATGTAATTCTTCTTCATGTAGTAATCTAGTATTCGAGAGAACGGGGGTTGTCAGGAAGAAGGCACTACTAGAATACACTGATACGACTCGAAGATGTAGGATTGTGATTGGAATTTTATTTCCCTCTTGAGCTAATCTGTTTAATACAAAGAAGAGAAACCTCTGCAAAGGCAGAAAAGAAACAACAAAAGAAAGAACATCAATAAATACATGTTCAAAACCTCTACGTGAAATACGGTTGAAAAGTAACAGTAAATGTACATCACTTAAAACCAAGTCAACGATACTTCATTTTTTTTATCGATTGAATTATTTTATTATTATATTACATTATGTATTGTGTATTGAACTATATTATGTATTTTTTTTTTGAGGGATATACAATGTTCTTTATATTTTGATATGTTATGTAAATAAATGGAGCTGTATGTTCTTTTAAATATATTTTGTACTGAATTAATACAATAAAAAATGCTACAAAAAATGTATTTCTTAATGTGACGGTTCCAAATGTTTAAAATACATGTCCGATGAAACGTGTGGTCTTTCTATACAGGTGGTCGCTAAAGCAGGTTTGACTGTACACGTAGAACATGTTTCTTAATTATTTTTGTTGAGAAGGTCCCTGGATGAAGAGATCTAGATCTCTATCAAAAATAAGGATATCCTTTTAGTGTACTTCTGCGGAGATCCCTAAAAGGGGAAGTCAACTTTGACCTTGGGTCAGAGACAGTAGAGAGAAAGGACTTTTTTGCCACATCACCAGATCACAGGGTGAGAGGGGTGAACATAGACCATCCACTCACCGCTTATGCAAACAGAGGTGGTTAGACAGAGAAAGTAACTTTGAGCAGAACTTCAGACTTAAAAGTGTTACTGCAGCATTTGTGGTAAATTGTTAGTAAAATGATGATGTATTTGGCATGCATCATTAGATTTAAACCTCAAAGACGAAACTTGATTTCATGTATAGTGGACAACATCTGGTGTCTTATTCAAGAAGCGTTGTGAGCTGTGTTTTCACATTCCTGCTGTTATTATGTGACAATGATACTACTAGACAAATTCACAGAGAAACACTCTGTATATGTGTACCCATGGGTAGATTTATGTCAATATTTGGAGGCCTATCATTAATTGCTTTTCAATTTTCAAAATGAGTCTGTGTAGAAAACCTATAGACTACACCTGTTAGAAATAATGCTTCTCAGTATAAAATATTGTGTATGAATATATACCTGTAATGTAACACAGACACCTTGAGGTAGAATAGCTTCATTTATTAGCGATACAAAAGAAGACCTGATTGACAGTAATAGCTAGGAAAAGATATAATTTGTATCATTAGTATTGGATGTTTTGTTGTCAAAGTAAAAGTTGTCGAGCTTAAGTTTCAAAAGGTTGGGAATGTAAAATATCTGTTTGGTATCAAAAGCTTGCTTGTCACTTTATAAGAATTTGAAAGTTATAGAAGTTATCATTTGAGTTATCATTGATGTTACAGAGGTCTAACTTCATCATTTGGTTTGAGATTATGGTGCACTAGTTGGTCCAATTCTAGTCTCAGTGTCTGGCTATGAGTCTCTCCTCAATAGGGGTGAATCAGTGTAATAAGTAAAGAGAACTGTATAAAAGGCAATTTATATTTCTGTATTAATGATTAATCATGCATATTTTTTCGGCGAGGCGTCAAAAATAAATATACCAGCCAGCGGCAGCTAACTGCACTTGTGCGTCCTGGCTGCATTTTTTAAATTAGCTCAGCCGGCTACCGCTGGCGGTAGGCAATGGCATTCAAAAGCATGCGCCGGCTGCCGCCTTTCGAATGGAAACCGAGCCTCAGATCCCAGCCTGGCGCAAGCCGGCTGGGCTAATAAGTGAAAGATAATTGCCCCAGCCAGGCTTCGGCCGTAATTGCAGCCTCGATGCGCCAATACGTGAGGCGGCAGCCTGCTGGTATCAATATTGTTGACGCCTCGCCTGAGTTATACATGTTAAGAGGTGATATAGTATATAAGTATATGAATCCAGGTCACAAAATTATAAAAGCATCAACTCTAAGATCAAAACAGAATAATCCCCTGAAATTGCATAGTCATGAATTTTCAGTCAATTAAAGTACGTCAAATGCCTACCTATAATTCATTATAGCACATTTTATCAACACCTGAAACAAAAGTAATATAACAAATGTTTGTGTTCAAATTATTTATCACGCTCTACCATCCTGACTCACCCTACAAGAACTGTTAACAACTCCTGGGGGTGTTTCACAAAGATCCTAAGTAGAACTTAACTCTAAGTTGGACTTAAAAATTATGGACAGCCATTGGAGTCTTAAAATGAAATATATTCAAAAGCAGAAATTCAAGTATTTTAGACTTTTTATAAATTCCACATCAAGAACATGAAATCTCCCATGATAATAAAAAATATAAATGATTTGAATCAACATTTTATGCCTTTTTGAAATACCTTTAACAATATATTTTCAATGATGCTAATGGCTTTCCATAATTGTTAAGTCCAACTTAGAGTTAAGTTCTACTTAGGATCTTTGTGAAACACCCCCAGGTCGCTACGAAGACCAACAATGGTGCCAGGTTCTTCTTCTCAAACGCTAGAATCTCCAAAGTGCACCAGAACTCTTTCTCAATCCAAATCCTGGTCAATCAGTCACCTCAACAACTGTTAACCCCTAGCTCCATCCAAGAAAGGAACTCCTAAATGAATGGATAATACACCATATCCCAATAAACTCGATGTACTCTCTAGTAATAATATGATATAATTGAAATCAAGAGCCAACACCAAACTACTGAAATATGTAGACTCATATGTCTAACTAACTGCACCATAAACCCTTCCCATGGAGGATGCCTCTTATTTGTTTACAATTGAGTACCCCCTCTTGGTTGAGAATATTGCTTACACAGCACACTCAGTCATGACCGGCCTTAAAGCTGCATTACCAAAAAATCTCCATCTATAATCAAATATCTCCCAGCTTTCCTCAGTGCACTCTATACTCCAGCTACAGTATTCAATACCATACACTAAATAATAACACTTAAAGGTTAAGACCAGTTCTGGTCATGCGATTGCATTGTGAAAGAAACGTTGTGGAATCGATCAGAAAATGTTGATCATCTAGCATTTAAGTATTGGTGATGTGTACGGCAAGGTTCTTGAATCATCAAAATGATAAGAAATTAGGCCCAGTCTTGGTAAAGTAACAAGCATTGTACACAGAAAGATGTTTATGGGACTACGCGGCACGTGCGCGATATCTATCCGGTCCGGATAGATATAATAATTTACCAAATATATCAATTAGCAGGCGGTTTCCCGGAAAAAATTGTTTCATCACGTATTAGTCAAAGCATATACGTTGACATGATTGGTAATACAAGCTTCCATTTCATTTGTTGAGAGGGGTGCGTTTCCAAAACTGGTCTATACCTTTAACTTTACAAGTACGTGTAGATGTGTATACGATATATATATACTCTCATCAACATTCAAAAATAAATATAAGATACTCTGCCCTACATAGTTTACAAAGCCACTAGAACAAAGACTCATGGTCATGTACGGCAGCTCTATACTGAATAGACGCACACACCTCCTACACACAAACTATGTACATTGTGTATTGTAAATTATTAAAATTTAAAGAGTAGACAACGATTTAAAATGGTTTATTGACAGGCTGACAAAATGTAGGTCAAGAGGTTGTTTACATTTTTGAGGGAAATTCACGCGCTAGGAAATGTAATACTTTGTATTACATTGGAAGGAAATGTACAAGCGTATGTACGCTTATCAAACAAGCGCGGAAAATACCGCCAGCAAATTAAAAATAGCACGAAGGGGCTTTCATTCTAGTTATGGCTTTCATTTTGAATGGACAAGAAGAAAAATTTACGGAGTCTAAAACATTATTAGAGGATTTGGATTAATACTAACGTTAGCACTGCACTGGAATAATTAGTTGGATATATAACGCTGAATTATTTATTTTTTCGTGAGCGACCAGCGGGATTATATTCGGGTTTTGGGCTGGCCTTTGTCGTTGGGCCCGATTAGAAAGGAGAGTCCATATCATTATCAACTTGAACTGTTAGTGTTAGTGGCCTTGTTCGCATCTCTACTGGCAGGAGTACGTTGGCGATCATGCCAAAAGCGAAGAAGAAATCCGTGGCCGGGAGGAAGAGGGGTGGCGAGACGGCGCCCAGGGCAACGTTACCTCCAAGTCAGGCGGAGAATCCGAGAGCGGATGCAGCGTTACCCCCAAGTCAGGCGAGGAAAAGTCCGAGGGCAAGGGCGAAGGCAACGTCAACGCCTGTCGGAGTGGGCCCCAGCGGCGCCGACGATCAGGGCGGTGAGTTCAACCCTAACATCATTTGTAGAGCTAGAGCTAGTGGCAATGATGTACCTGATATCAGTACTGGTAGGCGCGCGGCCATATTATGGCCGGAG